TGGTGTCATCTGGAGGAAGGCTGGAACCCTCTGGGTGATGCACCAGGATGGTGTTCATCTTGACCACAGGATGTTGGCGTAGGATGGTACCCATCTGGTAATTTCTGGTGACCATCTAAGTGTCTAAGTGCTTTGTTCATGTAATGGAATCCTAAAGATAAATCTGTATGCATGCAAATCTAATGTCAACTTAATTGACAAAAAAAACTTGAATAAGAATAAAATAATCTAATACCTCTACTTTTGTATTTGGGTACGTAGACAAAAAGTGTGTAGGCTAATGATTAAATGTTGAAAAAAATCAAGCATGCACTAAGAAATTTGGTGTAAAGATAAGTAAACAAAAATTTAGAAAGCTTAGTTCATTTTGTTTAACAATTTTGTTTACTAAAATGGATCACTCATGTGGTGAGTATTGAATGAATTTTAAAACAAACTTTAACATGTTGATCAGCTGAGTGTGAGCATAAACAAGGACAATCCCGACAATGACCAGAAGTAGCTTTCCCCCACTTGTGGGTTATCTTTTCAACCGTTAATTGTTTTGTGCGTTTTTTTTTTTTTTTATCTAGTGGTCAAAGGATGTTGAATTTTGTTTTAAAGTGTATTGTTGTAAGGTTTAAGGTGTTTTACCATACCTATTTCTTTTGAAAGTAAAATGGAATTTAAAGATTTATAATCTTGTTTTGAATTGTTTTTATTTTAAGAAGAGTAAGGTTTATTTGAATTTTGTAGTTTAATTAGCCTAATTTTGGTTTTAGTTAGGTTTTTAGTTTAAAACTCTTCTTGATTAGTTGTTTAGTTTGAGCCTTGTGTGGCTTGATCTAGTTTGAGTATACAACTAGAGACAGTTGGTTTGTTAAGTGTGTATTCTTGTCCACCCTGGAAGGATGTTGTGGGTGAGCGTTCCAGCTTTGGAAGCTTTCTAGAAGTCCAGTGGGTGGTGGGAAGGTGTACTGGACCTTTTTCTTACCCCACTTGAAGCTTTTCATGGGAGGCTTATTGGTCATGGTATGTTTTGAGTTTTTTAGTCATCTTATTAAGAGGCTTTTGGTTAAAAGTGAAGGTATTTCTTGGTTGTTTTTTCCCATCTTTTATGTACTGGTGGTTGGTGTTTTCACCAGGTTTGTAATATGTGTATAAAGGAAGTGTCATTTGTCTACCATTCATCATCTTAGATGAAGAAATGCCAGTAGATTGATGTGGAGCTCTTGCAGGTTGGAGTTGGCAACAGATCATGCAGTCTCTGATGTAGCAGTTTACATCTTTGCACATTCCTGGCCAGTAAGAAACTTGTCTTAACGCTCTGAGTGTTGCTTTGGTGCTATTGTGTTTTTTTAAGATGGGTTTTCATGGGCGTGTGCCAGCATCACCCCCCTGTGGTCATGAGGTACCACGAACGAAGGTGAAGTTGTTGGCTCAGGAGCAAATACTAACATGCCCTTGAACATTTTCAAGAAAGGTTTTACCTTAAGGAATGAATGAAGTTCAGGGATTGAGTCAAGTTCCTCTGAGGAGGGAGTGACACGATCTGGATCAGTTAAGTAGTGAATCATCCTTTTGATGGCTGGATCCAGAGATTGAAGCTTAATGATGTCTTTATCAGACGATGCTGGTCCAACTGGGATTGTGTTAGCAGTTGGTTGTGAAAGATCAGAAGAGCAGGCTGCAGCACATGGATGTGCGAGCATTTGCACCTCTTGGTGGGTGGGTTTGGGATAAAATCAGGTGGCCAGGAGGGGTCAAAAGACTGTGTGTTACCACTAGTGGTACTGTTGTTAGTTAACGAGTCTGTGAGATCGTTAAACTGTTGGTTTTGTCCTGACACCTGTGAGTGGCCTCTGGCCTCTCTGAGAATAGATGGACTCTGAGTCATATTGGATTTGTCGGTCTGGAGAGACAATGCAGTGTCAATCATATGAGCTCTTTGCAGCTCTGGTGGTTGTGCAGGTGTAACTGACACTACCTCTGTGGGAGGTGTGTTCTCAGTCACCTGATGTTTGTCTTTGGGTGGGGAGATGGTTGACCTTCCAGAAGTATCCAGTGCCAAGCACTGTGAGTACAGTTCTGGTCCAGCAAAGATGGGCAGGGGTTGGCGCACCTGGGCCCAAACTTTGAGAATCTTAAAACCAATCAAAGGTTGAAATCGTGTCAACAAATCTTGTCCCACCAATAGTGAAATTGTTTCTAAATCAGACACATAAACTGGATGGCTAAGTGTCATGTTACCGATCTTAAACTGTATCTGAGTCACAAAGGATACAGTTGTGTTGTTAGATGCATAAGGTGTAATACCAAGGAGGCAAGGCTCAAGAACTAAGTTCTTGTTAGCGTGTTTCGCTGCTGACAGCAGTTTCTTGAACAGGGTGGCTGACATCAGGGTGACATCTGCTGCGGTGTCAAGAAGTGCGTCATGAGTGAGGACTTGTTCCAGCATTAGTGAAAAGTAAAACTTTCTTGAGGGGCCCCGTCCAGTAAGGTTACACAAAAATTGGTGAATTGGAGGTTTCTCTGGGAAATCACAGTAGTTTTCTCGAAATAGAGGTCCTCAGGGTTCATTTGAACTTCTGAGATTGCATTCAGGGTGTGTGAATAGTCAGTTTGTTGTTCTGAAGGAAAAACAATGTCAGAAATAGAGTTACAATCTGTGGTTGCAGGTTCAAGTTCTACATCTGCAGCTTGTTGGTCCAACGGTTGGTTGGCCAGAGAGGTCACTGACCGAAGGTCAGCACCTTTGGTGTCATTGTCTTGGTGTGTTTCATGAAAGAAACATTTAATTATCTCAAGTTCCTTAGGAGTCAAGTTGGTAGACTTACTTTTTTAGTCTTTGGTGATCCTTTGTACTTTTCAGAACGTTTCTGATGTACTAAAGGTGGTTGAGCATGCATCAGGATAAAGGTGGTTTTGTTTCAGGTCGAGAGTGACGATCCTGAAAGGTGTGGGTCTGATTAGGAAAGTGTTTACCCCCCTGAAGAGGTTTCCAAGAACCTTGGTATTTACCAGGACCTTTCCTTTGGTAAGGTGTCTTAGGCCGGAAATAAGATCAGCAGAAATGCCGAGTAAGCTGGTAATTGACTCATTGAGATTCTGGATGAAGAGTGTTTTAAAGTTTAAATCTTCTTCCATGTTGGGGTAATTGTTATAATCAAAGTAAGCGTTGGACAACCGGTGGTAGTAAGCCTGTGGATGTTCATCTCTTCCTTGTTTGATGTTCAGAGCAACTATTAATCCTGATAAAGAAGCAAAGTCAGAAACGCTCTCTCTATAGCTTGGCGCAAGAGAGAAAAATCAGATCTGATGTGAGATGTCTGTCGGTCGATAAACCTTTTGACTTCTGTGTTAGAAGTGATTTTGATAAGATATATATTTATATTTGTCTTCGATAGATGCATGTGGGAACCGGCTGAGGTGATATTCCACATCATCAAGATACAATTTTACATCAGTACCAGTGTGAGGGTCAAAATTTTGAATGTTTGGCAATCATGTCCAGATCTTTGTTTGATAGTTCAGATTGAGCTTGGGTTCAGTTTGACCACTCCAAGTGTGTTTGGAGGGTAATGTCTGTTTACTTCAGTGGAGGACTCGAAAGTCCAGGGATACTCGCCGTTTGGTTCCAGGTCATCAGATCTGGATAAGTGATTTTGTGAAATGAGATTACTTACTGGATGTGATGTATTTATGCCTTTGTTGAAAGACTGGACATTAATGCCAGGAGGAGGTCATAACCTCAAGTTGGATGGATTATTTGCTTCAGCCAGTTGGTCTTGTAAAAATTAGATTTTTTCGTCTTTGAGTTTTAAATGAGTCAGGCAGATATCATTTTGTTAAAGTATAAGGTCATTGTTTTCATATGATTTTCTTAGAGTTGTAAAAATCTCAGTTTTAGTTTTGATTTCATTAGAAAGTTGGGCTTGTGTGTCCGTCAACTTCTGTTGTAAATCATAATATCTTTGCATTCTCAGATATTCTTGATTGAGAAGGTGAAACTTTGTTTCAGCATCAAATTATTTGTTTTGCAAGTGTTGTTCATTGTGGTCTGATTCCAGTGAATCAGAAGAAGAGATAATAATGTCATTTTCTTTAGAGCTGAAAGCCATTTTGTGACTTTATTTACCCATTTAAGCAAAACAAAATTAAAACTGGGTTTTATCTTTAAAAATGTGTTTACTTCTGAGGGGTTAACTTTAGGTGTTGATTTAGTTAAACTTTTTTTTGATGAAAAGTTGTTGAAATAAAGCATTTAATTATTAGAAGGAGCTTGGTTGCTTCACTTTTAAAATTACAGCTAAATTGATAAACAACATTTTAATATCAACAGATATTACATTAGTTTAATCAGCTCTTAAAATTTAAAACATTTCCAATGTATGATAAAATTATTTAAACTAATTAGTTAAACTGAGAGTTGAATTAAGTTTCTTTGAACATTATTTTTTTTCTTTGTTATAAGTCCAAGTTTTCAGCTTAGTTTGAACTTATAAACTTAAAATATTGTCAATTTTAAGAAGAAATATTGGTTAATTTATTTAAAATGTGTTATCCACAAATGCTTACTTAATTTTTACTTTTTTTAAGTTTTTATTTAAGTTAGTTAATTTTATTAAGGCATTATCAAAGTTTAAACTCAAATTATTTGCAGTTTAGATTTTAGTGTAGTACTTTCTTTGACCACTAAGGTATCGCTGTTTGGACAAGATATTTGGTCTAGCTCTGTTCAAAATGGTGGACGTTCAGTTTTGAAATTATTAGCCTTTTGTGTCAGCACAACACTTAATAAAATCAATAAACAAATTCTCAACTTCTTGAGCGGAGAAAACAAAACTTTAAAAAGCGATCAGATTTAGCTGATCAAATTTGGACGAACAAAGCGCCACTTTAGCCGGAGTCGGCCTGTTAGCTTAAAAACATTAAAACTTGTAAACTGTACTAAATACATGAATCCACCAGAGGACAGTTTTGTTTTTTGTGTATTTTATACCTTGACTGTTGGTGCTCACAGATCTTCCAGGAATTTGAATCCACAGATATGAAATATAAAGCTCGTCTTCGAAGTCGAATCTCCAACCTGAAGGACCAGAAGAATCCAGATCTGCGCCGTAACGTCTTGTGTGGAAACATCACACCTCAGCGCATCTCCTCCATGACTGCTGAGGTGAGTTCTATTATGTCTCATCCTCCTCCATGAGACTGTTCATGTTCAGAGCAGAGTTTTGAGTTTTAGCAGAAATGCTTGAAATAAAAATTATTTTTTTTTTGCTTTTAATTATGACAGTTTAGTGGGAGATCTCTTATTGGAAAACTTTGCACCATTATTCAAAGATCTTACACTACCATAAAGAAAAAGAAATTAAATGAATGAACAAACTTTAATGCAGTTGCACATCACTCACCACATTTCATTCCAGAGTTTCAAACAAGACCATCGTTTGATGGGAATGATGGAGTTATAGCACTTATGGTTATTCACAAAATCCACACGTCACATCTACATTTTCAGGATCTGGTTCTTATAGACACCGATTAAATACTAACTATGAATATTTCTATATTTATCACCCCAGTAATAGTGTTACACACATTAGTAGTTGTAAACACTCAAAGGAATCATTGTTTGTTTAGTGTTTACCTTTAAACCTAAACATTTAAGGAGTAAACATTTTTAATAATCACATTAAAAGTTACAAATGTTGTCTTTGGTGCCTGTTTGTTTTCCAAATATATTAGTGTGTGTGAATGACTGGTATTAACTTCAAACACTTTGTAGAACAGTGTTTTATGAAGTTCAGTCCATTTCCTTGTTAGTTGACCCGCAGGTCTGCCACGTTCAATATGGCGGATGCTCTGACCACTAGTCCGCTGAACGAGTTGTCTACAGCCAAACCCATCTGTTCTGATTGGCTCCTTAATATGTGACTGACATGGCATTGACCAATCAGCTGAGAGGAGTAAAATCCAGGACAAAATTCATACACATAGTTTTTGGATTCATATCTGTAAATGGAACGTAAAAAAGTTTTGTAACTTGTGATTAATTTTTTTTACAAATGCAAATCTTTTTTATAAGGTTACACATCTTTTTTTTACAAATACAAATCTTTTTTATACATTTTTTTTTCCTATAAGGTCACAAATCTTTTTACACCTGCAAAATTTTTAAGGCTGGAATTTGAGCCCATACTCCTGTGGTAAAAATTAAATGACACCTTTAAAGCACTTCAGGTTGCTCTGAACCAAGTGTCTTATGTTTACTCTTCAAGCGAGACTGCATAAAGCATCCAGTGGAGATGTTTAAAGTTGCATGTGTTTGTGTCTCTAGGAGATGGCGAGTGCAGAGCTGAAACAGATCAGAGAGACTCTCACTAAAGAGTCCATCAGAGAACATCAGCTGTCAAAGATGGGAGGAACCGAAACAGACATGTTCATCTGCAACAAGTGTCACGGAAAGAGCTGCACTTACACACAGGTCCTGCCCATAGAAGCTCCTTGTTCGTTCCTGCCTCTTTCCTTTATTATTTTATTTTTTAATTTGTTCTTTAAAAAAAAAATTGTTTAACAGGTGCAGACCCGAAGTGCTGACGAGCCCATGACGACTTTTGTTTTGTGTAACAGCTGTGGCAACCGCTGGAAGGTGATTTGTTCTTACTATTTTCCAGGACTGTATAGGTTTACAAAATGTATTTTAGACTTTTATTCACTTTTTATGTTCTGAAATATTTACTCAAACTGAGCTTTTCGTTCATTATAAATACATGGCGACTTCTGTAAACCAAGAGGGAATATGACCAGTTCTTAGGTTTAATGCTTCATTGTAGGCTTTAAAAACCTGAACGCTGAGACCTCCTCCTATTGTCTGTTTTTCTCATTTGATGTAAATAACTTTATTCAACTCCCTCCAATCCATGTTTTCTCTGTCCATACTAAGAATGTTCCTTATCTTTGAGATGTGTGTGCACACTGAGTCTTGTCCGGAAGAGCTGCTCCCCTGTGTTGATTCATGCATCTGGAGAGGTTTTTTTTTATTGATCCAATATAGAATTTTGTACAGTCCTCACTGGAGAATCCATAAATGTCTTATCTAAAGACACTAGTTGCTGGCATTGTTAGGTCGTTTTCACACCTGATAGTCCTTTCGACTCAGTTCGATTGGGGACCAAAATTCAGAACATTTGTGTACATTTTCAGCTGGTGTGGTTTGCGTCCAGCTACACTGAGCCAATCGAGCCAACCTGTTCCCCCTCTCGCCTGTGGTGGCGGTGCACCAAGAACTACTTTAAAAAACGACATGAAAACCTCTGAAGAAGACACTTCTTGTTCTTCTGGAAATGAAAACAAAAATGGAGTGGCATCAAATTTTAGGGGCAAAAAGTGTGTGTGCTGGGTGAGTGATGTCCTTTATGATGCAAGTGGCCATCTTCCTGCATCTGGAGGTGTAGATGTCTGTGATGGTGAGGAGGCTGACTCCCAACAGTCTTCTGTGGACATTTCACCACTCACTGCAAAGCTTTTCTCTCTTCAGCTGTGCAGCCTTCATGCCATATGTTCATGCTGGAGCACAGGATGCTCTCCACTGCACACCTGTAGGAGGTGGTGATGACTGAGCTTCCCAGACCAGCTTGCCTCAGCTGCCTGAGGAAGTAGTCACTGATGTCCTTTCTTGAACTGACTGGTGGTGTTGCTGCCCCAGCTGAGGTTGTCATTCAGGTGCACACTCAAGTACCTGTAACTGGGGACCACGTCCACCACAGATCCTACTATGTTCGGGGGGTGGGGGTGGGTAGATGTGTTTGCTCTGTCTGAAATCCACAACCATCTCCTTTGTCTTCACATTGATGTGAAGGTTGTTCTTCCTGCACCAGCTCTCCAGGTGTTCCACCTCCTGCCTGTAGCTGGACTCATCATTGTTTGTGATGCATCCAACCACCACTGTATCGTCTGCAAACTTTACAATATGACAGCCTGAATGGGTAGGTGTGCAGTCATACTGTATGTGAGCAAAGTTAACAGGAGGGGACTCAACACACAGCCCTGAGAGGAGCCAGTGCTGAGGATTATGGTGGAGAAGAAGTTATGGATCCACACAGAGTGCGGCCTGTTGTTCAAGAAATCTAGGACCTATTTGCATATGGAAGGGCTTAGTCCTAATACGAGTAGTTTATCCATCAGGGTCTGCGGAATCATGGTGTTGAAGGCAGATGTGAACTCCACAAAGAGCATATGGACGTAGGAGTCCTGTTCCAGGTGGGTGAGAGCAGAGTGGACCACAGAGGAGATGACATCTTCTCTTGATCAATTCTTGTGGTATGCATACTGGTGTCATATACTGGTGTGGGGTCCTTGCTGGTGTCAGTGATTGCTTTGATGTGGGTCATGACCAGTCTTTCAAAGCATTTAGCCACTATTGGTGTGAGGGCTACTGGCCAGTAGTCATTCAGACCAGTCACTGTTGAGCTCTTAGGAAATGGGATGATAATGGCAGTCTTCAGGCAGGTGGTAGCAGTTTCCAGGGTGAAGGAAGAGTTAAAGATATCACCCAGCACCTTGCAGAGCTGATCCAGTAAGACAAGTTATTTCAGCACCCTCCCTGGGATGTTGTCTGGGCCAGTGGCTTTGTGAGGATTAATCTTCCTGAAAGTCCTCATTACTTCTGTTGAGGTCATGCTCAGAAACTTCTCTTCAGATGGTGAGATGAGTCTGGTGCTGGGTGGTCTATTTGGGTCTTCAAAATGGGCATAGAACCTGTTAAGAGCATCAGGCAGTGAGGTGTCCCTAGAGCATTGTGCACCTCTGCTGTTCTAGTCTGTGATGCAATTAATGCCCTTCCACTTGCTCCGTGGGTCCTGTGAAAAGAAATGTCCCTGGATCTTTCGTGCGTATGTGGTTTTGACCTTCTTAATACCAGCAGCCAGCTGTTTCCTTGTCTTCCCCAGTTCCTGTGAGTCACCAGACCTTAAGATAACATCCCTGCCTTTCAGCAGGGTATGGACCTCTGAGTTCAGCCAAGGGTTAAGGTTCAGGTAGCAGTCTTAGTGGTGGTGACATCTTCAATGCACTTGCTGCAGAAAAATGGAGATGTGGTCAGAGAGGCCAAGGGTGGGTGCATGGAACAGCTCTTTGTGTCTCATGTGCTGGTATAAACACGGTCTAGTGTGTTATTTCCCCATGTTGGTAGTATGGTGACAGGCTGATAGAAACTTGGCAGAGTGTCTTTCAGGTTTACATGGTTAAAGTCCCCAGCCACCACGTAAAAAACTTCAGGATGCTTGTTTTGAAACAAGCTAATATCATTTATCTCCCTCAGTGCGTCTTTAGCATTAGCATCCGGTGCAATATAAACACCAATGATATACACAGCTGTGAAACCACTAGTTAAATAGTGTGGCCGACATTTCACAGTCAGTTGTTCTACACCCTCAGAGGAGGAACTGTTTATCAGAGCACAGTTTGTGCAACAACCTTTGTTTGCATAGACTCATAAACCGCCACCCTCGGGCCTTCCTTGATAGCTGGCTTCAGTCCACCCAGAAAATCAGCTTGTTTTGTAGCTGGAAGTCTGAGTTGGGCATGGTGTTGTTAAGCCATGTTTCCGTCAGCGTACAGCACAGTTTGCCATCTCTAAAACACTCACTCTTAGCCCCAGAAGGTCCATCTTGTTTTACAAAGAGCAGATGTTGGCCAGGAACAGGGATGGAATTGGCAGTCTGTCAGCATTAACCTTTAGCCTCGTTAGTACTCCGCTTAATTTTCCTCTTTTCTGTGCCCGGGCGCATCGCTTCCTTTTGCCCTTAGAGCGCTGCTCCCTCCACGCTAATGTTTGTAGGAGCTGTAATCTGCTGATTGTAGCTCTGATTGTGGTTCATTGCTGTTATTTTTGAAGCCAAACCTTCTCTTATGGTAATAAGTTTGGATCGGCTATAATTCACACGCTTAAAGCGAGCAAAGTCAAGCTCGGAGTCGATGTCAGAACAAAAAATAACTGGCTTTCCACAAGGAGTCTGAGAAGCTCCTGGTCGACTGCGCACGACCATCTTGAGGTAAGAATCAAGATGTTTGTTTTGAAAATTGGGTTGTCAGGTCAAATTTAAATTTCACCACCAGCATAAATTTTATATGTATTTGTAAATGTATGTATGTGTGTATATATATATATATATATATATATATATATATATATATATACATAATATCTCTCGCTCTTGCTTGAGGTAGCTGCTTGTCTTTCCTCTCCCGTTTTTTTTTTTTTTTTCCCTTCCCGTGCTTCACGCTATGTGTGTCTGAAGTGCTTGGTTTACATCTCCCAAACGTAAATTAAGATTATGGATCTGGTATCCTGGAAATTCAACACTATTGACAAGATTTTTTCAACAAAAAGACAAGGTCCCGGAGAGCCTGCGTGTCCAGCTGAGATGCACACTGTGGGGTACGTCATGGACCCGTGGAGAGTGTGGCAGCTGATGTGTCTCGCAGTTCTGTCTCAGAAGGACGCTGAAGACGTTTACATTTTTGAATTTATGATAGCAGGGACTCTGCTTTTTGGCATTGGCGGGGCACTGTTTTATCATCTAATTGAAGAAGACATCAGCAGCAGTTTCGGCCATGACAAAGCTTCCGAGTTAGTGTGAAGGTTTGATGCGTGCTGTAGGAACTCAAAATCAACTGGTTTACGAGCTAAACCGTAAGGTGGAGGCGATTTATGAGAATCGCAGGCCACCTGTGGCTTCTGGGGCTCGTCAGCGCGGTGGGATCGACCTTGAAGGAGACTCATAACATGGATCAGTGGAAAGGATTCCCACAATTAGGCGTTTTTGGAACCAGAATGTCCAGATGGACTCAAGGCTGAAGGAAAAAAATCTGTCTGCCTGAAGAAAAATCAACAATCAAAGCTTATCTGAATCTGACTCCCCACCGGCCTTGGAGATGAGCAGATTATCAAATTTCTTCTGGGTCATGGGTAACCAAGGACAAAAGCTTCATTTATCGCAAGCCCTCATTTTGTAGGCCCCTGGCAGTGGACCTCCTGTGTCTCCTTGCACAAAGGACGAGGTAGCGGTCCTGCTGCTGGGTTGTAGCCCTCCTACGGCCCCCTCCATGTCTCCTGGTGTACTGGCCTGTCTCCCGGTACCTATTCCATGCTCTGGACACTGTGCTGAGAGACACAGCAAATCTTGCCACCGCTCACATTGATGTTCCATCTTGGATTAGCTGCACTACTTGATCAACTTCAGTGGGCTGTAAAAAATGCCTCTTGATGTCTCTGTGTGACAGCACTGAAAAAATGAAAAAGTGACTAAAAGTTCAACCAGAAGGGACGAGAACAGAGAAATGACCTGTGGTCACCATCTGCAGAATCACTTTTTTATATGGATTGGCTTGCTGATTGCCTCTCATTCCACCTGTTGTGTATTCCATTTGCACAGCAGCAGGTGAAACTGATTCACAATAAGTGTTACTACCTAACTGGTGACATTGATTCCACAAAGGTGTGAATGAACTGAAGGAATTAGTTTTTTACAGGGTCTCAGACAGAAGAAGTCTTTTGGACAAAAGACAAAACATTTCAACAAAGAAGAATCCGTCTACAGGACCTGACTCAACCTTGTTAGATTTTTGTACATGGATTATTGAGCAGCA